AAAATGATCTGCCTAATATACCACCCCAAGAAAGTTTCCTTTCAGAAATGGATCGACATCGTATACATTAGAGCAAGGTGTTACCGGTATTATTTTTGTACACAGTTAAAATGTAAAAAGTGTCAATGTTAGTGTTTCTGGCAGTTAAAATTGAATGCCACTCCTTTTAAGTATATCTTGCTTGGTTAATTTTTATTTTATTTTTGTGCAATTCTCCATTGTATGTTGTACCTCCCAATATATCTCTCGAAATGTTTCACGCGATGAAATAATTACAATTGTAATTGTCACACGATAAAATGGTCACGGTGAAGTATTTATCGCGATAATGTGTCTTACGCGATTAAGTGCTTTGCGATGAAATTTTTTAGGCGATGGAGTGGAATACGATGAAGTGTCGGCGATAAACTGTCACGCGATAAATTGTCCAGTGATGAAATTCTTAATTAAAAAACATTAAAACAGCAGGTCAGCTATACACCTATATCGCAATCAATAGTTTTTTCTTTTATTATTTAGTATAAGATTATGTGGTATGTAGATTGTGCGCTACGTGAAATCGACCACCCCGGACAGCCCGTTGCAATCAGGTGACATTGTCACCGTTTTAGATTTTGAGTGGAGAGAATAGGCTTATGGTTTTACAACGATGTTATTTTTTTTTTTTGTTATTGTGATCATGTTTTTTTCTGCCAAAAATATCGCTCTGATTTACAAGTAAAATACCTTTTCTGACAGGAAATGTGACTGGGGTGGTACTTTAAGAAGGTATTTTTTTTTGATATTTCCATGAGTTTTCCCAATAAATTGGAATAACCTTGAAAAAAAACAGCATCTTATACCATCTCGTACTTTTATTTAGGTATTTTTTTTTTGTCATCATAGTTTTAATTGTAAACACATTCACACACACATATGCAATCACACATTTTCGCCTAACACGCACTACGTAGTCCAACATTTTACTATAAATTTTATACTGTCGTTATTCGCATTATTATCCAATTATTAATATATTATTCTAATCGGTTCGAGTTTGTCATGATAAATCAATTGGCGCAATATGCGTTAAAGTCCGATCGCGGTTCTAATGTCGAACGTTTAATTTTATACTTTGTCGTACGGACTTGGATGGATATATGTTGTTCCGGTCGGCTATGAACCGCGCGATGTCTTTGAACGTAGATTGATCAACTTCCTTAGTGAAATTTTACATTTCTCAGCCCATGACGATAAATTTGGAGCTACCCGTCGAGATAACGTTGGGAGTGCAGTTTCGACACGGGGTACCCGATGTCGCTACTTTGAGTGTAGCGTCGAGACGTGGTACAGACGATGACGGCACTGCTGGAAAGTCAACAGTAACGGAGTTCGCTTGGAGAGACATTTCTGGATTGTCGACGGTTTCTGTCCTAAGTTCTGTGATATAATCGGCAACTAGGTCCGCTTGGGCAAAACTTCTACGATATCATTGATAACAGCAGCAGTGTCCACTCTGATCGGTTCTGCGTCACTTAAAATGTCTCTGCAATTGAAAATTAATAACTCTAAAAACGTCAAAAAATCAAAAACAAACGTGATATGACGTCATATCATTATGTTCTTGGTAAAATCAACGACAAAAGATTTGAAAAAAAAAAAAAAACTCTTGTGAATCAACGATTCCGGCACCAATACGATTTTGGATATGACCCAGATAAATAACGATTTTCCATTTTATATACACAAATACACTTACTTAATTCCCAGAAATAAACGTACCGAACCACCCGTGATCGACTCAACAGGCCAAATCCATTACGATGAAAGAGGAAACTGCGGAAATATTCGCGAACGTCATAGAAGAACAATTTACAACTTCAACGAGGTCAACTTTCAACCCGCTCGACGATATTGTGCGGGAAACTCTATTAAATTCTAAAAATAAATGCTACAACGGGACAACCTTCTTTATCCCTAAGGAAATCTGAGCTCAGAAACTCACACTACGATCATCTGATTGATGTAATCACCAGACCAACCCTGAAAGAAATACACAGAATATGACCCCTGAACATCATATAAACTCTTAAGATATCATACGATCAGCGAACCTAAATAAATAAAATTGAAATCAACTCCATCAACAAATCCGGCCACTACACGATACTCTCTGGAAGAAGCACTAATGCTGCAACAGACGAAATCTTCCTTCAAAAAAAAAAGTAATTTCGTGAATTGCGTTCGTCGTGTATTTCGCCGACAGACGTACGCGAATGTAGCACGCCAATGTCGCGGAGCGGTGTCACGTCATTTCGAAGGGAGACAATTGGGCGCAACTACATTTCGACGCATTTTTTATTATTTTTTTTTTTTTCGTGTTTTATCGTTATCATTGATTTTTTCTCAAAATAAATCAACAATTAAACAAAAAAATACGTGAAAATGTGCCGTGCACGCAATCGTCTCGCGTCAAAATCGCCGCGTCCATTGACGCCCGTCGAAATGACGTAGATTCTCGCGAAGGACGTCATCATCGGCGTATCGTATGTTGCGTATCAAAGGTACCGCCGCAGGTCTTGCACGTTGATACGGGACACGGTACTGAGTGGCCGCATAACGAAACTTCGCGGTTTCAGCAGTCACGGCGGTTTCGTTCGCTACAAAACAAGTGGAATGCGAACAGTAAAATGTAAAGCGGGCGCGTTATCCCCAAGCCGTCGGCCGGACTCGAATAAGTGCGCCGAGCGGGGGCGGGACCGTAGCGCGTTGTTTCACAATAGTGAATACATGTTTTGCCTATTCATGTACACGGGGTCGAGTTCCGCCTAGCGGGTCCCGGTATTCCGTAAGTCCCGGCCGGACTAGGGGCTCGGGGCGATCGCATCGGAGCGCCGGGAGGCCGAGAATTCGGTGGCCGTGACAGGTGGACCGTGCCATATTAACGTGCCAATCATTTCGACATGTTGGATACAAAATGACAAAACGTTATATAAGTAAAAACTATAATTCAATTGGAAAAAAAAAAAAAAATAAAAAATAGACTGAGTATTGAAATTTACATAAGTATTAAATACTATTTTTAATATTATATTGTACTGAACTGAAATACTGACAATGCATTAAATTATCTGTCTTTATCATCTTCTTCACAATTGAATTTATGTTCAAGTTTACTACTATCAACTGATTCTTTGTTAAAATTAACTCAAAATGTGGTATTTTATAAAATTTAAATTCTCATTATAAAATATGCCGACATTCTTTTTTCGGTTTTCTTACATTATCAAGAAAAAGTAAATATAAAAAACGACCTTTCTTGTACACTAACTAAACAAAATGTTCTACTTTGAACCCACTCTTACATTCTTAGATACAAAGCGAAAACTTTTTTTACAGAAATGTATGACACAGGTATGTCATAGACCATAATAAAATAAAATCGCATCACTCAGTACTTAAAATTCATTCAGTTAATCCATTTACCGTGAAAACCGCGTTGTTTTTAACTCTTAAAATGATTTTGTTTCTNAATGATCTTGTTTAACAAAACAGTGTTCGCAACCATTTTTAACTATGTATCATAAGCTAAATGTAAAAATGCAATGATTTAACTAAACTTTTTTTATAAACGCCATACGTCATTATTGAAAATGTAGTATTTGAAAATAAAAAGTCAAAATGCTGATATCGAGCGTAATGAGAAAAATGTGATCGGTACGTATTTTTTTTAAATCGAATGGAAACATACTGATCTCCCGGCATGAATTTCGTTCTCACCCCGCTCCTGTGTAGACTTTAACCCCGACAGTGAGAATTTAAAAATCGGGACCATTTAAACCAACAAATTACATTCGGTTATCAAAGCTTATTTGCTGTGTGATTTTCGGCTTAAATCAATCATCATGAATAAGTATTGAACATTTGCTCATAGTCGTTGTATTTTTAAGCCGATGCGGGGAAAATGCGATCCTTAATACTACAGCCCCCTCCCCCATATTTGGATAGCCGCTGGCTACTTATTAACGACGGTATTCTGTTTATTTTCGCGTCACGCCTACGCCGCACGTGCGGTGCACCGCGCAATTCGTGGAGGTGTATCCGCTATTATATATACGTATGCATCGAAAACGCGTCAGTAAATAAAAGCGCACCCGGTATATGATAATAATCCTAATAATAATAATAATAATAATAATGTGCCGGGGTGCGGGGGTTGATGAAGATGCTGACGCGTAACGCGCATTATCTTATAATAGTCTCGCACGGAAACGTCGTAAAACAATTTATCGTACAGTTAATGGTACGCGACGCCCGCGATAAGGGTTCGCACCCCTATCGTCCCTGTTCCCGGTCCGGAGGACCCCGAATTCAAAAGGTCGTAATCGGCGCGCGCGACGACGAAGGCCAGTGTGAACTATTATAACATATACCTATAACACTCGCATTGTATGATAATATACATATGGCACGACGAAACGAACACCGGTATATTATTATCGGGTATATTATGCTATAAGACTCGGGGAAAGTTTTCGTTGCAAAAGGGACGGAGAAACCTGCAGCCGGTCAGGTATACTCCGAGAATATATTATAATACAGAGTACCGGGCATTACGTACACTCGTCGCGGGTTGCGCGTCGCCGTCGTTCAATACGGTCTTTTTGGTCAGGCTTTTGTACAACTTATAGCTTATTAGGTTATAGCTGCAGCGGTGGCTCATCAACGGACAGCCGTAATGTTGAAACCCGGTAACACGACGGTTTTAGTGTATATATTGCGTGTCAAATGACCTCACTCCGTTCCTTAAAGAAAGCCCTACGAGAAGATAGACTTCGGTAAACCTTTGACTTAAATTAGGAACTTTCGTCATTTAGTTCTGATCCCACCGGTGAGATTAATTCCTACAAAAAATATAAAAATTTTTTTTTTTTTTTAATCAATTACCGTTTTTTATCGTAGCGGACACACCGTAACAAAAATATTACTCAGGTAGGTATCCAATAAACCTTACTCTGTATCTATTTGGCCACCATAAATCTCTTTACAAAAGTGCCCTGTATGGTGGTGGCAAATTTCATAGGCGATAAACATAAAGAGTTATTGAAGTTAGCTCTAACGTTCCATAAATTTCCGACTGTCTCACTAAAACACGTGTTAAAAGTAGTCTGGATATATGAGACTTCGTCGTCTTGATTATCAAGATTATCATCTTGAGAAGGTCGTTGGCATTCGATAACATCTTGCGGATATTCATAATCATAATGTTTTCGACACACTCTCCTAGGTGGTGATACTTCTTGGTAATCCCTACAATGGCGTGTTTTAGGCACTGGCTCTTCTTGTTGTTGATTCAATGTGGGATATTCTGGATAATGAAATGTTTTAAACACATGATCCATATCAATAAGTGTTCGTTCTTCGGGTATAAACGCATACTCAAGGGTGGGTAGATACCATTGTTCCCGTTTTATATGATACTTGTCAAAGTCGTTTATTGTAAACTTAAAGCGTTTTTGAGATTGATGTTTTCCATCGTTGAATAGTATCTAGTAAAATAAAAATATATTGTATATAGATAACACTTTCCGAGTTAATAAGTATCTTATAGTTAATTGTACAATTGTTAATGATTACATTTGTGAATGGATGAGTTTTTCGTATCCAACCACTAATAATGTTAATGATTTCCTGTGATTTTGTGTGTGATACTTTGTTATAAACAGTCTTTCGACAACTGTTAATCATATAACAATCTTATAAAAATATATTTGTCCGCTGATAATCTTATTCAGTTTTGAGTATAAAATATTTTATTTTTTTTTTTATTTTGAGAGTCTCATTATTTATTATAACCTTAGAATATGTATAAAGAACTAAATAAAAAATACGTGAAAAGTGAAATACTGGCAGTTTTAAAAAAGAGGTTTGAAGTTAATTGGACGGGGAAAAGTCCGACGGGGAAGTATCCGACAGGGAAACGGCGACGGGAATATGTCTGACGGAGAAACGGTGGTGGGTATGTGATCTACTATCATATTTTCATACCTTAATAAAGAATTTAAAGGATCATGATACTTCAAAAAATACGAATTTTAGATTCTGAGTGGAGCAAAGAATCGTATGGTTTTACTAAAGATGTAAAATGTAAATAATTTAATCAATAAATTTAACAATATATTAATTTTTTTTTTTCTATGGACAACTTTTTTACCAGAGACCTTGCTCAGATTTTTGTGTGTAGCACAGTTTTAGAAAGGAAATAGGCGTAAGGGGGTACTTAAAAGAGGTAATTTTTCAAATTTTTCTAGTTATCTTATCAAAAGGAAAAAATAAAAAATCTGTACATTAAACAAATATTACTAAATATGTATACAATGCCTATTTAATTATTATACCATACTATATACTCGTATATATATATATATATGTATTGTTATATATTGTATTGTGTTATAATTTATATTATAATATATCGTTGAAAAACATTAGCAAAGCATAACTGTTAACTGAACTGCGCACAGAATCGTTTTTTCGTTAGATCGCTAACGGTTAATCATTGCAACAGATATATGTTTAATTACCTATAACAGTAGCCGCACCCATCTCCACTATCCTAGAACTTCTTTTTTATTTTTTTTTATTGAATGCGTTTGATGCACATATTCAGTTGCAGTATGGTGCTCTTAAGTGTGACGCAGTCATAAGCTCTGACTTCTAGATTTCACCACGGGTTCAAATAATAAACTTAAATTACTGTAAATAGTATGTTCAGATTCTGGAGGAGCAAAGAAGCTTATGGTTTTATAAAGATTTTTATTTTTATTTTTTTGTCGACAAGTTTGTACCGAAGAACTTGCTCCAATTTATAATAACAGCAATGTTTCTAAAGGGAAATCCGACTGGAGAGGTTCAATTTGTGATTTTCTCAAGATTTTTCACAGCAAATGTAAAAAACCGGGAAAAAACATGGTAAAACCAAGAAAAACGTATGAAAACCGGGAAAATCAGTACAACACTGAACAAATATTTATAAGGAATATATATGAGTTCTGTTAATTTATTTTACTACAATATGGAAAGACACCGCTTTCAACTGAATTCTGCTCAGAATCGTTTTTTTTGTAAGCAATGGTTTATCTTTGGTTATGGATATATATTAAATAACCTATAACAGTGGCTACACTCGTCACCAATATTCTAGGACGTTTTCTCTCTAACTTTTCGGTTTATAAGTTATATTCGTCCGTAACAACGGCCATACCATACACTTTCTTCTTAAATGGATATCAAATAGTAGATTAGTGGAAAAGTTCTATCGTTAAGGCGGTCATTTATATGTTAAAAAATTCAAATTTAATGTAATTTTAAACAATTTTAGAAAAACGTCCCCAATCCCTTTATACCGTTATTTAAAATTTTAAAACTATTAAATTTATATAAAATCAATAATTTTTAATTAAAATTTCAAGATTGCCATACTTTTTCTGCGTTTGCGGTTGACTGTGATGAGATACGGCATCAACGGGGATCAAGAACGATAGATAAAATCCGTTTTTGGACGACAGTCGAGATTTGAAACGGCATCTGGTGTGAACAGGCATTTAAAATTGTTTAGTTTTGTTTTATTTTATTTTTATTTTTTTTAAATAAACTTTTGCAAACGTAATTGAAATTTATTTACTTTAACGCCGCAACGTTGTCGACAGTCGATAACGATTTGTTGTATGTATACACACTTTTTCATTTATGTTACAAATATTTAGTCACCATTCTTTCGTGGAAAAAAAAAATGTTCAACGGTATATTAAATGACGAGAGACAGGAAAAAGGAACTTCCAAGTGTTTTTAAGCTTGACTTGCGGAGCAAATGAAAACAATAAGAGCCCGAGTCGGTATTTTTACAATGTATAAATGCATAGAGTTTAATATAATATAGGCAATAAATGCTGTTAAATTGGTTTCCTTTTTTTCTCACTGTAGATACATTATCTTCCTTGTTAATTTTATTTTTTTAGATTCTGAATGGAACGAAGAAGCTTATGGTTTTACAAAGATATTTATATTATTTTTCTTTTTCGTTCTGTTAACAATTTTTCTACTAGAAGACTTGTTCGGATTTCTAAATATCACACCTTTTCTGAAAGAAAATCGGAATGGGAAGAAGGGAAATTTTTCGATTTTCTCAGGAGTTTTCTCAACCGAAAAAAAAAATAGGAAAATGTACGAAATATATTACTAAAATATTACTATTTTTTTTTTCCTTTGCACAACTTTTCATCCAGCAATTAGGCTACAATTTATAACAGCAATATTTCTACAAAAAAATGTCACTATGGAATTACTTAAGAAAGGTAATTTTTCGATTTTCTCAATGGTGTATTTTAGAAAATGTTAAAAATCGGGATAAAATATGAGACACCGGGAAAAAGGTAGGGAAATTGGGAAAATCAGTTCAACATTAAATACATACTATTAAAGAAAATGTTATAAAGCATATTTAATTATTTTACTATAAAATAACATTTATATCGTTGATCACCTTCAACTGAACTCTGCTCAGAATCGTTTTTTCATAATTATAGTTAATCGATGATTACAGGTATGCATTAAATTATGTATAACAGTGGCTGCACCCGTCCCAATTATCCTAGAAAGTATTTATTTTTTTTTTTCATTTGATGACGTAATTTTTACGCTGAGGGCTCCGATGCAATATGGGGGTCACACTCATTTCTGCTTATGCAATTTTGTTCAAACAAATTTCCCGAATCGTTAGATTCTGAGTGACGCAATGAAGCTTATGGTTTTACAAAAATAACTATTTGGTTTTTTTTTTCTGTTCTGTAGAAAACTTTTTTATTGATCCGATTTGAACCCTAAAATTCTATATAACAAATATATACGGAATATTTTTCGATATTTGAAAAAGAAGGTCAATAATTTCAGTCCCGAATTAACTTTGGGCTAGACAATGATGGAGGCCTTTATTTCTCTTGCTATTCTAAAATTAAATATATTAAACATGTTTTACATTGTAATGTAGTGTAACATTGAATCGTTAAATCCAAACCGTCCAATAAAAGTAAAAGATAATTTGAATGAATACGTTTCATAGGTGGTCGTTTTTTTAAAATGTATGATCTGCAGCAACAATTTCGTTACAAAGTGCGTACCTACGCAGCTATCGTCATTTTAGTGTGTAAGTTACGATATTTAATTCCGATTAAAATAATATACCGAATTTTCGTAAACGCGAATTGAAATTCGAAAAAAAAAAAAAAATACACGAAATCGACGAATATTTACTCGAATTCTTTATAGAACGTCCTTGCGGCGTATACCACAGTATACACAGTATATTATGTGTAGAGTGTATAACGCAGCGCCCGGAATTTCATAATTGAATAATGATAATATTATCTACCGTAGACATTACGATGACTACGGGTTACCGACGTGCGGTGTCTACGATACCTTAGATTAAAATAACTCCGCAGAACGATCACAATAATACGTAGTTATACCTTCTAAAGGGGTACAACAATAATACAACACTATAAACCGCACCTCGGTTGCGCGGTGGCACAGCTCGGGACCGAATATTATTCTTGAATCTCTCTCGGTCCTCCTCCCGTATGTACGCGCGGAGTATATTCTTGGCTTTCACTCAAACGCCGCAGTCGAGTGTAGTCGCTTTTGTCCGTGTGTCTCTCTCTCTCTCTCCCTGTCTCTCTCTCTCTCTCTCTCTCTGTCTCTCTGTCTCTCTCTCGATAGAAGGAGATACTCCTTCTCTCTCTCTCTCTATATATATATATATATATATGTATGTATGTATACAATATACTTACTTCTTTAGTCGTCGCACCCTTTGCTCCACCCTTTCTCTGCTCCTCCCTCCCCAAAAACATTTTGGACGCGAACCTAATGATTTCTTACATTAGAGACCGGCAGCGCACGCGTTTCTATGTGCGGCCGCGGCAATTATTCACTGTTTCTCCCCGAACCGCTCTCTGTCGCTCCTCCACTCCACACTCCCACCGCGAACACAGCCGAACGCGGTAAGGCGAGTCCGTTTGTAATTTATCCCGTTTGCGAACCGCCGCGACCTTTCGCGTTAAATACAAACTCAAAAGTTTAACGGGACCCGAAATCGCGTTTAACTCGCAGAGTGTACGTACATACACTTACCATATATGTATGTTTAGTTGTCCTTTGTTCAAACCCCCGCCATCCCCTCGCGCGCCAAACATAATTTCCATCAACGGTTGACGGGTGTTTTTCGAAATCGTCTAGGCGATACCGGCACGGTGTCGCCGATTCAATCACCAAAAGTACCTTGGTAACGTTCTGTAATACATTATTATTCACCGAGTACAAAATATGATCGCATTCTTTTTTTAAATCTGAACTTTCAATATTTGTTTCCCCCGTTGGTTAAAACATATATATATATATATATAAATCATGTTCACACAATATGAAAAATAGAATTATATTTATATAAATGAAAAACAAATATACTGTTAAACGATTTCCCTTTTTGTAGAAACACAGAATAATATAAGAAATATCATTGATCTAAATACAATCTTCGTGTTTCGACGGTAGTTCTCACAATATTGTTGTGTAAGTTCTGAACAAAAATGTATTGAAAAAAAAATAAAATCTCATGTAGTGATTATACCGTATGAAATGTATACATGTGTCGTCCATTGTCGTTGTGAATCACGTGCAGCATTTAAACTGTTGTACTGTTGGTAATCGACATCACCGTTTATCACTGCCGTTTTTATAATATCATACAAATATCGATAATGGCCAAACGGTCGATCGTGGACGATTTCAATGTCGATCTCCCTCCGTTAGAAATTATCAGCATACGATAATCAGACAACTGACAGTTGCTGATAATTTTTATCTCAATGGATAGTTATTTTGTTGTCAGTTATCAAGTAATACAGTTCAACAGCGTTTATATAAGATATTTTTTTTTCTATTATGCGTTTATTTTATAACAGAATTAATGTAACGAAATATTATATTAATTATTTATACACTTTAATGTTATTATTTTGTATACATATGTTTATTTCCATTCCTATTAGATTAACCTTATTAAAGGTTACACCTATTTATTTATGGAATTTGAGCCTCGGAGGAAAAAAATATATTCTAAGCACATTTCTAGCGAAAAAAAACGTTTGGACACCGTTAATGTACATATCCATTATGCATTAAACACCGATTGACTGATATTGACTTTTAAAATCTTTTAATGACGTTTTGATGTTATACAAGAGGAAATCAAGTGGTGATTAAGTGGAAGATTAGGACGCGGGTGACTGATTCTTAATAGTACGGATAGAAGACGAAGAAGAAGAATTGAAATTTTTACGTAATTCACGTTGTATACAATGCGTATCTATATGATTTCGAACCATATTACTAGTTTCATAATAATAATAATAATAATAATGGAATATGCAACGTCTCCAGTAAAAAATAGAAAATAATCGACATTGAATACTCGTTTTAATCGGTGAAAGGTTACCATAATCTGTAGCGTTGTTCACGATAAAAGTAACAATTGTCACATAACATTTTTTTTTTTTTGCAATGCAGGAACTAATACATATTTTAATTTGTCAGTAGAGCGAAGAAGTTTACAGTTTTACAAAGATCTGTGGACAACTTTTTTACCAGGACACATGCTCAGATTTTTAAGCCTAGCACCTTTTCTGAAAGGAAATTAATGTAAAGAGGTACTTTAAGAATGTTATTTTTCGATTTTCTCATAAAATTTGAAAAACCAAGAAATATAAAAAATTTAAGTATAAAGTGCAAGAAATAAAACAAATATTATCAAAGAAAATATATACAGCCTATTTAATTGTTTTAATATAAAATGATACATATTGTTGAAAAAGTATCATTATCAACTGATATGCAATGGTTTATCGTTGCTTACAGGTATACATTAAATTATCTTTAATAGTGGCTGCATTTATTCCGATTATCTTAAGACTTCTTTATTTTTTTTTTTATCACTAAAAGAGATTATTTTTCTAAAATCTTTTTCATCTTTTTTTTCCATAAATTATTAAACACCCAATTATATTTAAAAACTGTGATTAGGGGGGTATCGGAAGCAATGTTCCTGACTGTTTAATTTAAGTTCAATAATTGCAAAGAACGCACATTTTTTTTAAAAGTCTTACGGTCCCTCTACTTTTATATTTGCAATTCTAGTAAATACCTAATCAAATTGCTCTCAAAACGGTTCCTTAAAAATTATTGAACAATATTAATACAAAATAGTTAGACACCATTGTACGTCAACATTTACAAGAACGAAACACATAATATATTGTAATATATTTTATTAGATAGAAATAATACAACGTGTTATACATAATATTAAGTTAAACTTAACGCGTGCGACCCCGACCATTTGCTAACAATAATTTATTCTATTGACCCCACTCTAGAATGAGAATTAAAAAAAAAAAATAATAATAAAAGCGCCGATCACTTATACACGACAAAGTGACACTTTTTCTAAAGGTAACAATATGAAATAATTCCACGTTTTACTGTTGTCAAAGAAAATGTCATTATTTACGTGTCTATATTTAGTAACTTCCTACATAAAACGTTTTATACAAAAATTTTATTATAATAAAACGAACAACGTTACAACGAAAGAATAAAAATATTCTGGAAATTAAAAAAAAAAAAAATAATAATAATAAAACCGAACGTTTTTATTTGTCTTTTATTGGGTTTCGAAAAAGTTTGCAGACGGAAACATGCATAAAATATAAATATAAAACGTGTAGAAATATTATTATAGTCGAAATAACCGTGATGTTATTTTAGGATACGAGGCGGTGAAATAATATTCTCAACTAACCGTCGTCGTTATAACGACGTTATAACCTATAGGTTGTAAGTCAATGGAATAGTTCTGTGATAAGAAAATAAAAGTAGAATATCATCGGTTTCATGGCTAAACTTCGTAAATAAAAAAAATATTTTTTTCTTTTACGTGAATAAAATATAAACTATCTTCACAGTACTCGAAAAAACGCTAATTACCTCAACAAATATTTTAATTTTCGTTTCGTTCAATTAATGAAACAAGCAGCTTAAAATTGTAACTTTTCCGTTTATAACAGTTTCTCTTTTTTATGGAGGTTGAAATCACTATTCAATTTTGATTTTAAAGTATTAACCAATATTAAAAACGCCATAAATAGTTAAGGTTTTAATTTAAAGTGATTTCAGTGAGAAATGTTTAATTTAATCTGACCCGTTGTTGAGATATTCAAATTTTAATTTCGTGTAAAGGGAAATAATGTGCCTTATAGAAATATGGAGTTTATGGTGAAATCAGATGGGCCTCAGTAGCCTAATAAGAAGAAAAAGTAAAGGGAGAGTTTCGGAACTTCATTTGTGTGGCGTTTTATATCATTGAGTATAATTATCGATATTGTCATATGATAATCTACAAAAGGAATTAACTTAAATCGACTTATGAGAGATCTAACCAAACTTGTTGTAACAGTAAAACAATTAAGTTCTCATAAGTCAATTTTGAGTACACGTATTTAAAACCTCATTTGCCATTTATAACAACTCTTAACTCGTTAATTATATTTCTACATCGAAAAATTATAAAAAAAGATATTTTTTTTTTTGGAAATAGTATCCAATGATCATATCCATGATATGATAAAGAATTAAAAATTGAAAAAAAAACAATTTTCTAATTGGTAAATTTTTAGGTGGTGGCACAGTTTTTCAGTTATATCGTTAAATTGTATAAAATTGATTTACGAGGATTCGCCAAAATCTGACGATATTAGAAAGTCCGTACACAATAAAATAATTCTAAATATTATATTGGTTTTTTTTTTTCTACTTGTCTGCACCAGTCGTGCACAATCCTTTAATCACCATTTTCCGATTCCAATTACAGGTTTCCTTTCTATTTTTGACTTGTTGCGTATATTTGTATAAAATGTTAACAAATGAACAACAACACGATTATACTTTTTTTATTAACACTCAGCAGTGGTAATATAATTTTTCAATTTAAATTTAAATTAAATATTCGCATCGATTTATACGATACTAATGTATTATTCTGGTAAGATTTGACGGTATTCATTCGAAACAAACCGTCGATATTTTTTCCCTGTTGAAAAATAACAGGAAATTGGAAAAATGACCTACATAAAAGCATCTCGTTTGAAATAACTTTATTATCGAAGTCTATGAGAAACTTTAAGATTACTTTTACTGTTGTGGAAAAAAAAAAGAGTTTTAAGAAACAAAATTTACTAAGAATATATAGTTGTAGCCAACTTTGAATTAAAATCTTAAGTTTTTATTTTATATACATTTTCGTTCAATACACTCAACAGTAAATAATGAAAAACCTGAGGGAAATTAATTCTTTATTTTAGTTTTGATTAAACGAATATACGAATGGAAACTAAAATCAAACAATTAATAAAACTTAATAATATACGTTTTTTACATAATTAATATTGTATTTGAAAACGTAATTGATAAATTTGTACAATTTTTAAATTCTTTGTTCCGGAAACGAAATGTTAGATTTCTTAACATAATTTTGGAATACTTTATCCACTTTAGATACTTTTATTGCCTTTAGATTTTATTCCCGTTTTGGCCGTCCGTATATTTAGCTATAGGTACATAGTTATGGTAGTTAATTTGATTGATAAGAGGATATAAATTATTTGTAAATAATTTATAATTATACAATCAATAACAACAAGTCAGAAAAGTAAATACATTTAGTAAATAAATATATAAATAAAAAATGTATATAAAAAATAAAATGAATCAATGCTTCGCCTGGAGTATTATGATAGGT